ACTGGCCATCAAAGTGAATTTAGGTATGCGAGATTCGATAGATGCTCGTCTCGCGCGCTGGGAAGAGCGTTTGCGTTCTCTCACCACTCAATCTCTCACTACTGACTACGTTCGCCCGGATCCTCCTCGTCTTGTTGAGGCCGTCCACACTGTTGCTGTGCCCGAGCCAGCTAAGCTCGCTTTACTGCAGTTGGGAATTCTTGATGGATCGAATCCAGTTCCGCCGTTTACGGTACTACTTACAGCCTTCTCGGTGCTAGCTTTCAGACTTACCGGGGATGAAGACATATCGATAGGAACCACAGCCGAGAATAAGGAGCCATTCATTCTGAGGACGCCATTGACTGGTCAAACAACTTTTATAGACCTCTTAAAACAAGTCAAAAAGGTGAGGTGAGCCTCTATAGCATGTCGCTTCAATATTTTGCTGACCTTCACCCCAGCTTGAGATCGAGGGTGCTGCGGACTCAGTGCCGTTTTCGCAACTCGTCACCCATATACAGTACAAATCAAAGGCTCAGGCTCCCCCTTGTCTCTACCATTTATCGCTTTACCACGCTCCTGACGCCCCCTCCAAGCAATTCCTATCATCCTACGAGTTGACCACCGACTTGTCTATTTACGTTGAACTCAATGCCCCCGCCACTTCCCAGTCCCTCCGTTATGTGCCCCAGATGCCCAACATCACCCTCAATGCACATTATAATCAATTGATATTTTCGAGAAAGCGTATCTCGTTCATGGTCGATCAGTTACTACAGATTGTTCAATTTGGGGCAAAGAATCCCGAGATTTCCGTTGGGTCTATTCCCTTACAAACTCCTGAACAAGTTGTCATACTGCCGGACCCTAGGAAAGATCTGAACTGGGGGGGCTTTAGAGGAGCAATTCACGACATATTCTCTGCCAACGCGAAGAAACACCCTGACCGGGAGTGTGTAGTTGAAACGCCTGCTTTTTACGAAGAGGATTCAAAGAGTAGGATCTTTACGTACATGCAAATTGACGAGGCATCAAATATTCTGGCACACCATTTCATAGCTAAAGGGGTGAAGAGGGGCGATGTGGTCATGGTATACGCTTACAGAGGTGTGGATCTTGTCGTTGCGGTCATGGGTGTTCTGAAGGCGGGCGCTACTTTTTCCGTCATTGATCCGGCATATCCTCCAGCAAGACAAAACATATATCTCCAAGTGGCTCAGCCTAGAGCTTTAGTGGTTATCGAAAAGGCTGGAACACTGAGCTCTGTTGTGCGTGAGTACATCACAAACGAGCTTTCTATTTATACGGAGGTTCCGGGTCTGGCGATTCAAAATGACGGTACACTGGTGGGGGGTAAGATTGGTGGGGAGGACGTTCTAGCAGACCAAGTCGCTCTCAAGGCCCAGAGCACTGGAGTTGTGATTGGTCCAGATTCTACACCAACCTTGAGTTTTACTTCTGGAAGTGAAGGTATTCCAAAAGGTGTTCGAGGACGACACTTCAGCTTAACTTATTACTTTCCATGGATGGCGGAGGCCTTTGGGCTATCTGAGAATGACAGGTTCACTATGCTGAGTGGAATTGCCCACGATCCTATTCAGCGCGATATTTTTACTCCACTTTTCCTTGGCGCAAAGTTGTTGGTGCCAACGGCTGACGATATCGGTACTCCTGGAAGGCTTGCCGAATGGATGGATGAAAATTGCGCTACAGTTACTCATTTGACACCTGCTATGGGCCAACTGCTCTCTGCACAAGCTACAAGACCTATCCCATCACTCCACCACGCCTTCTTTGTTGGCGACATCTTGACTAAGAGAGATTGTCTGCGGCTTCAGTCTCTCGCTCGAAACGTTAATGTGGTAAACATGTATGGCACCACCGAGACTCAACGTTCTGTCTCTTACTATGAAGTTCCGTCTCTCAATCAGAATGCTACATTTTCTCAGACCCAAAAGGACGTTATTGCCGCCGGAAAAGGGATGTTGGACGTACAGCTTCTTGTTGTCAACCGCCATAACCGCGAGCAGATATGTGGCGTGGGCGAGATTGGGGAAATCTATGTTAGAGCTGGAGGGTTAGCCGAAGGTTATCTACGTATTCCAGAGATGACCGCCATGAAATTTATCAAGAATTGGTATGTTCCGGAGGGCCATTGGTCTTCTCAGGGGGATTCAGGAGATGAGGCTTGGAGAGAATTTTATATGGGTCCTCGAGATCGCTTATACAGAACCGGAGACCTGGGTAGATATACTCCAGATGGAGAGGTCGAATGCAGTGGCCGTGCAGACGACCAAGTCAAAATTCGTGGTTTCCGTATTGAGCTGGGTGAAATTGACACTAGTCTTTCTCAGCATCCCTTTGTTCGAGAAAATGTTACCTTGGTCCGTAGAGATAAGGATGAAGAGCCGACACTGGTTTCTTATATTGTTCCACTACCTACAAGTGGATTTGACGGGCCACTCAGTGCAGATGAGACTACTGATGAGGGCGTCGGAAGAGACGAGATTGTTAGCGGATTGAGGAGATATCGCAAGCTCATTGCGGAAATTAAGACATATCTGAAAGCGAGACTACCATCTTACGCTGTACCAGCGGTGGTTATACCCTTGACTAGACTGCCTTTAAACCCCAATGGAAAGATTGACAAACCTGCCCTTCCATTCCCTGATACAGCTCAACTTGCGGCAGCTTTCCGTCGAACCAGGAGGGGTACAAATGCTGCTGCGGATCTTCGGGAACTAGAGGATCAGAGTCTTACGCCTGTACAGAAAGACCTTCGCGATATCTGGCAAGGCCTTTTAACACACTCTACCACACCTATTGGCTTGGATGACAATTTCTTTGACATTGGCGGTCACTCAATTCTGGCGACTAGGATGATCTTCGAAGTTCGCAAGAAATTTGTTACTGATGTGCCATTGGGATCAATTTTCAAGCATCCTACTTTGGGAGCGCTAGCTTCTGAAATTGAGAGAGTAAAGGGAAGTAGTGAATTGAACATTCAAGGGATAGGCGAGACCAGCGATACGGACCCTGGAGCGGGCAAGATAACTGACTATTCAGCCGATGCAAGAGAGATTGCTAAGACTCTGCCGGGGTCTTTCCTGGCTGTGAAGACACCGGTGTTGGGCGGAAACGTCTTCTTGACAGGTGCTACTGGTTTTCTTGGTGTCTACTTGCTAAGGGAGCTTCTTTCAAGGTCTAATCCTGCCATCGGAAAGGTCTTTGTGCACGTCCGGGCGAAGAATGCAGATGCTGCAATGGAGAGGGTAGTCGGGAGTTGCGAGGCGTATGGTGTTTGGGACCCTTTATGGGGTAATAGGATCGTGGCCGTTGTCGGTGAACTGGGAAGTGAACGCTTGGGACTTAGTGAGGCTGAATGGGGCACACTGACTGAAGAGGTTGATGTCATTATTCACAATGGAGCGCAGGTATCGTCTCGTCTTTTTTCTTGTACATGGTCGCTACTAACATGCTCTATTAGGTCCATTGGGTATACCCATACACCAAACTCAAACCCGCAAACGTCACTGGCACCGTAGACGCGCTCCAATTGTGTGCCACTGGCAAGCCAAAGTCATTTGCCTTTATCTCGTCAACTTCCGTTCTCGATTCCGATCATTACGTAAGGCTCTCTGATTCTATCCTGGAGACTGGTGGTGTCGGTGTTCCCGAGTCGGACGATCTCGGGGGCTCAGCTCAAGGTCTTCGTACCGGATATGGACAGAGCAAGTGGGTCGGAGAGTACATTGTCCGTGAAGCCGGTCGCCGTGGCCTAGATGGTTGCGTCATTCGTCCGGGCTACATTGTTGGTGACTCCAAGTCTGGGGGTAATTTCTTCCCAAGATACTTATTACACATATCAATGAAAAATACTAACGGAATCAGTAACTAATACCGACGACTTCTTAATACGTATGATAAAAGGCTGTGCACAGCTAGGGCAAATGCCAGACATCTACAACACCGTAAATATGGTACCAGTAGACCACGTCGCCCGAGTCGTCGTTGCTTGCGCATTCAACCCTCCGGCTAGCCCCCTCCCTGTCGCACATGTGACCAGCCATCCGAGACTCCGCTTCAACGAGTTCCTGTGTACTCTCGCAACATACGGATACAACGTTACAAAAGTAGATTACATCCCCTGGCGTATCGCCCTAGAAACACACGTTGTCGAGAAGTGTGAGGATAATGCATTGTACTACCCCTCCCTTCTGCTTCTCGTGCAGGATAAGGCTAATATTGGAAAGGTACCCTCTGCTGCACTTTGTCCTCGACAACCTCCCTTCAAGCACTAAAGCCCCAGAACTCGATGACTCGAACGCTGTCACTGCCCTTCTGTCAGATCAGGAATGGACAGGACAGGACGGTTCCCGCGGCGCAGGGGTGTGTGTAGAGCAGATGGGTATTTATCTGGCATACCTTATT